TTCGATGTGCTATTAGGATATTTACGGTCACCGTGTGCGTTAGTCTGATGATGTCCCCGAAGTGAGTTCATGAAGGAATATTATGCTAAACCCTGCAGGTGGATTTATTCTTGCATAATATGAATGCTATGAGCAAGCGCTAGCTTCGGTAATATAATATATTAATTAATTCTTGATTATTATTGATCAAATTAATTAATGGACATTATATCTTAAACATGAGGAGGTAAATCGGATAATTATAATAAGGAGTCTCAAATGTAATTTGGGATAGGTAAAGAGAGTGCAATAATATTAATGTGGTGGACTTTAATATTATTAATATATTAATTGTGGGGTTGCTCCACAGTATTAATATATTAGAAGCCTTATCCTATTCTCCTTAGGATCCCTACTGTAGCTCTATATATACAGCATTATGCTTATGGAAGAAGAGAACAATCCCATAACCTAAAAGAATTCGTCTGCCCCCTCTCTCTCTCTCTCTCTCTTCCAAGGAGTTGTTCTATTTCTTGTGCTCCACTGATACAAGATCTAGATAGCTGTTTGAGAATACAGTAGAAGATCTTAAGGTATATACTGGATTCCAATCAAATCTATCATCCATCCAAACCGGAGACCAAAACCAGCAAGTGACCATACCACGACGACCAGGACGACGAGTCGGAGAGATCGCCGTCGAGATCGCCGCCAGCCGCCGCCGCACGCGCCCACACGCGCCGCCGGAAGATCGCAGCTGCTGGGACTTACACGCGCACGTGAGAGCGCGTGGACCCTCCGATTTCCGATCGGTCAACGCCGTTGACTTCGCCGTGACGCCAGCTTTCTGGATTGGTCAAGTTTGTTCGATTCCGAGAAGATTTGATTTGCGGTCATCTGTTCGGGCCAGCCAGATCTACATAAATTTTAAGCCGTAAGTTTTCTACATCAAACCTTTAGATCCGTTGCGCATAGATTTATGTTTGAATGTTTGTCCGTGATTTGTGTATATCGAGATCCTCATAGGTCCCAACACATTTTTCATATTCACATGTAAAGTTCTTCCAATAACAAATATCACATATTTGAATATTGTCTAGTATGAAATTTGCTTTTTTTATGTCTTTCCTCTATCACTACATTTGTGTTGTCTAATTCTATGACTCCTACAAACTCATTAACGAGTAGTTTAGCTAAAGCGTTTAGATATTCTATGTTATCTTCTGGTTTATTCCAAAGAGCATCAAGGCTTGGAACATATGGGTTTGAATCCCACCAGTTTCTAACATTTCCCTTCATATGAAGCTCTAAATATGTTTTTAATGTACTTAGATCTTGAAATGCTAGCTTCTCTATTAGTTTGTATTACTACTAACATATAATTATACCAACCTTTTATTGTTTCAACTAATTTTGTCAAACAATCTAGATTGAGTATGTTATCACTGTGATTGTTAGAATTATCCTTAGGAATAAATTCCTTCGGAATATAATTTTTTGTTTTATTTTTCTTGTAAGGTTTTGTCTTACTTATATTCATATTCATCATTTCTGGAATATTTATTTTTGGGAATGTTTTTTCTTCATCAGATACTCCAAAGTACATGTCTGCAATTGGATTATAAAACTCATCGTTCATGTATTCTTCAGGAGTCATGAACTCATGAGTGTCTTGATAATTACTTGGTGCTGGAGGAATATCTTTAAGATCTTCTTCAATTTTAAAATTTATACGATCTTTTGGTTCTAGATTTTCACTTTCTGAACTAGAGGCACTGTAATTTCCTATGAATTCTTTTAAAGATAATATATTCTGATATTTGTCCAAGAGAGACTTAATATCAGTTTCACTTTGAGTAGAATCAGTGTCACTATTCAGTTTTCTCCAAGTAATTTTTTTCTTCCGTTTTTAAACAGATTACTAAGATCCCATTCTTATGCTGGTCTATATGTTGGTATAGACTTCTTTTCCTTAGTATTTCTTAAAACTCTTTCTATTTCTAATAATTTAGTGTTTTGGTTATTAGAATCAGATTGTTGTATATTTTGCTCTATTCTTAGAACAACTTCTTTTATTTCACTATCGTTAGTATTTGTTGTACATTTCCTATTTCAGGATATTTAGCCATTTAATCCTAATTCTTTTCCAATTTGATTTACAAGTAAAATTACTTTGCTTAAATTTTTCATTAATGACTCAATTTGTGGAATTTTCTCGTCTAATTTTATTAAAGTTTCTTCTAACCTATTTACGTTTATTCTGTTAATATTTTCAATAATTTTTTCAGCTTTTGCTGCTATATCAAGAGTTTCTGATAGTAAAGTATCAAGAAATTCGATATTTCTACTTGTTTTTTCAAGTCTTTCAAGAATTAATTCTTGATTATTTCAGATTTTTTTTAATATTTTCCCAAGTGGAGTTTATTATTCTACTCATTTATCAAATATTTAAATTTTAAGTATTTTTAGGTTCTTTTTTGATGATTTTTTAGGGTTTTTTTTCCATTAAAATAGATTTTAAGGGTAGAAAAGTTTTGATGTATTGTAGGGAAGATTAGAATGGGCTATTTGAACTAATTTCCTCCTTTCCTATCCAACCCTCTAGCGCAATAGTTGCCTCCAAAGCCGAGCCCTCTCTCCCGTTTTCTTTTCCTCAACCCGTTTCGATTAGATCGGATGGCAACTGATACGGCGGTTCCTACATCAGAACTTCAGGCGGAGGCACCGGCCACCGTGGAGAAACAACCTCACAAGCTCGAAAGGAAGTGGACGTTTTGGTTCGACAATCAGTCGAAACCGAAACAGGGAGCCGGCTGGGGCTCCAATCTCCGCAAGCTTTACACTTTCGACACAGTCGAGGAGTTCTGGTGGTATGTGACCATAAACCAGCTCCAGATGTCTGTTTTTTATGAGATATATCTGGCTTTGCATAATATTTTGGATTTGGGGAATGCTCCTTTGGTACTCACCATTAAATGTGACGCGTTGGTTGTGGTCTTACAATGGCGTTTTTAATGATGGATTCTTTTTTCCACTTTTATTGGAGGTTCTTCGAGCAAACGTTTATTTGTTGTTGGTTGTGTTGTTGTTTGACTGTTTTCTTCGAGCAAACTATTTGATCTTTGATTTATAAAGGTGATAAACTTTTGTAAGATGCATTTCGCGTTCAGTTTTGTTATCGGTTAGGGAAATCATGATTATGTTAGTTTATAGACATGATGTACTATAAGGTGAACTATAGAAGTTGGATATATTGATGCTTGGTTGTGGTTATAACTTAGTAGAGGAAGTCTCCACTCGACTCCCAAAACCAGTTTATGGATGCTTTATTAAACGTTGTAAAGGAAATGAGGAGCTCTCTATTCATGAAATTGTAAATTGGTTACTAATTTTGAATTTCAGCCTAAACAAAGAGAAGCTTTTGATGATGACATGATGCATTTCCCATTTGGGTTTTGTTGTGTACTGAATATGGTGTGAAGAGTTTCTATCACTTATAAAGCGATGTGGTGATTTCTCTTGCAGTTTATATGACAAGATA